GAATCTCATACAGCGGTTCGTTCTTGGATCCTCAGACCTGAGATGTCTAGAGTATCTGATATGAGGAGTGATGTGTCTTGATTGCGTCAAACGTCGTCTTTAACCGGATGATCATAACAGCGTTGCTCAGATACGTTCACGAATCATATGCAGATAGTAGACAGTGAGACAAAGGATCAGAACTCGAACTATGAATGGCTTTGTTAGATCATCTCTAACTCTATTCTAGGTGGGTGGTCATGGCGTCTTGCTAGAGGCTAACCATGACTTGTGGTTCGGGAAAGGGTTTCCGAAGCCACTGCCACTTCGAATGGGCCTACAGGATCACACACCATTAGGGATGGATCACACGTGAAGAGAACGACGCGAGAAAGGAACGACGGAAAAATCTGGAAGAGTTCCAGATGGCCAGACCGTCCGGTCTAGACCTGACCGGACGGTCCAGCCATTACAGACCGTCCGTTCTAAAGGAAGTGGACTGTCCGTTCCGCCGGTCCAGGTGTGGACCGGACGGTCCAGGCATCAAGACCGTCCGTTCTGCGAGGGAAAGCAGAACGTCCGTTCCGCGTGGAATGTCAGACGTCCGGTCCAGACCTAGACTGGACGGTCCGACTTTCGGGCAGATTTCCTATTTCGCGTTAAAAGGGTTTTGGGCAATCCTAATTAATGAGAGAGCCGCCACAAACCCTAGAGAATGAACCTAAGACGTCCAAGACACTCATGAGAGCTTAGAGAAGCTTGATTTTGAGTTCTGGTGATTGGAATATCGATTCCAAGTCAAGGACATCGTTTTCTCTTCACAAATCCTAGCAGATATATTCCAAAGTGTTGGAATTCATCCCGCCGGTGTGGATACGTATAGAGGAGTTGTGCTTTCAACTCTTGGTGATTAAAACAGGCCCTGGATCGATTGATACTTCCAGATCTTGAAAGAACGAGGTAAGTATTCGAATCCCACGACGATATACACGATTGTTCGGGTTATTGCACAATTGGTTTTGTGTGACGTTTGGCTAGGTTTAGATCTTTCCTTCCGCTGCGTGAAACCTAGAATCCAAACCCTAGATCGATGAGATCGCATGCTAGGAACCCGAAGGGAACCCCAACAGTGGTATCAGAGCCTGGTTCTCTGTATATCGCCGTGCCTGTTGCTTGTTTGCATGATTTTAATTGTTAAGATGCATGTGAACAATAGATCTTTGCATGTTTGCATGATTTTAATTATTAGAATGCATGTAGACTATAGATCTATGCATGTTTTTCATGGTTTTAATGGTTATTTGGCATGACCCGTGTTACGGACGATCGATGCCTTGACATGCGCTCTAGTAATGGGAGGTTGATAACTCTTATTCTTCTCTATATTTTGATGAGAGTTTGTCTAGGTTTTATAGT